CGGTACTGAAGCTCTTGTCTTAGCTCTTTAACTGAGAGCTGATGTAATAGCATCAAACATGTCATTGTAATCAAAGTCTACCTCCTCTCGTTGAGTTGCCTATAATCCCACTTCTGACACCAATTGTAATAACTTAAGTGAGGCAACTCAACGAGACATAGACGTTTATTCACACGACATTACAGGTACACAAAACAACATCTATCTTAGGCACAATCTCTCCATATTGGCTCTTTAATTGGGCGGAAATCGTTCTCCTCTTCTAATGTTAACATCCTTTCCAGTCTAGTTTATCACAGTGCGCACCTTCTAGCTTAGATGGCGGTGCGAATGGCAGAGTTATAACAATATTATGATGGATTTTTACAATCTTTTCTAGTTTACGAGACCTCAACGGAACGGACGGACAGACATTCAACACAAAAACCAATAGCGTCTTTTTCCGTTTCGGGGGCCACTAAAAATGTGATGAGCCTAACTTTCTTGTAGCTAGGATGCCTGTCTTACTTCGGCAGATTACTCTAAAGGTGTCTGGGTTTCTTGTGAGGGTGTATTCATGCGACTAACCAAGATGTAGACACATACATAGTTAACAAGTGAAAAGAAATTAAGTTCAAAAACCGTTAAACAATTCAGATGATGGTTTAATACTGAAAAGGTCACAGTCGAGGCTCTGTCTATAAAATACATGTTATCCCTAGGAAAACCTATCACCACCTCTAACCCAGTGTTTCTCAAACTGTGTGCCGCGGCACACTAGTGTGCCGCCGAAGATTTGCAGGTGTGCCGCGGGAGTTTTCAGAACGCCAAACGTGCAGCGTTACACAGGTGTGCCTACTATAAATTTTTATTTTACGTTGCGACGACATCCCCACTTGCAACGACCAGTAATAGTAGTGGAGCGCTTCACAGTGACGGAAAGAGGTATTAGCTATTCATGTTATGGAATTGTCCACTATACATATATTATTATAATGACTCAAATGTAGGCCACCTTAGCAGACGCACAGAAGTTCTTGAATTGGTAACGATAATAATAAACGATGTGTTTCATGTAAATTGGTTAGGTGTATGCTAATAATAACAAATTATCAATAAGTATTATTCATTGTTATCCATGGAGAAAGACGTTAGCAAGAATGAAACTGCGAAAGCATTAAATGAAAAGCAAGAAACCAAACGAAGGTACAAAGAAGATGACATCGGATATGGTTTCATATCTTCTGGACCTGAAGATTCTCCATTAGGCCTACCATTCTGTCTGATCTGCAATGCAACTCTATCGAAGAGGCAATTGTTCCAAGCAAATTAAAGAGACACTTGGAAACAAATCATCCAGCTGTAAAAGTGCAACCAAAGGAATACTTTGAAAACATCAGGGCTTTACAAAATAAACATCTAAGAAACTTACGAACTACCTAAAGCTGCCAGAAAAGGGATTGATTGCAAGTTATAAGGTTGCTCATTTATTAGCAAAACGCAAGAAAGTACACACAGAGGCTTAATCAGTCATTGCACCAGCTTTAGCAATAGTTGTTGAAACTATCCTTGGACCCGATGCCGCCGAAAAAGTTAAAAAATTGCTTTGTCAAATGGTACTATCTTGCGCAGAATTGAAGATTTACAAGATCAAATCTGCGAACACTTCGATGTGACTGACGATGAAATGTCTCTCCTGTAATCTCTTCAAGTTGATGAATCCACTAACGTTAGTGGCAAAGCCCAGCTGCTAGCTTTTATTCGATTCATAAAGGATGAAAAATGTGTCAACGAATTCTTATTTTGCAAAGACTTACCAACTACGACCAAAGGCGAACATATTTTTAAAGTGGTGAACGAAAACATTTTGCTATTTAAACTACAGTGGAAAAACTGTACCGATGGCTGTCCTTCCATGCAGGGAAATAGAAAGGGAATCGTCACTCTTGTGGGTCAAGAAAATCCAAATGTATTAGTTGTTCACTACATGATCCACAGAGATGCTCTTGCCTTCAAGTCTTTGCCGAAAGATTTCATGTCTGTTCTGGATCAAGAGATTAAAGTTGTAAACTTCATCAAATCTCGACCACTTGCATCCCGACGTCTCTCTCAGCTCGTGAAGCAATGGATTCAGACTACAAATGTCTCCTGTATCACACCAACGTTCGTTGGCTCTCCAGGGGGAAAAGTGTTAAAGCGTGTGGTCCAACTCAAGGCTAAGCTGATTTCATTCTTGGAGGAAGAAAAAAAAAACGTTGGATTTTCTATTCATGACGAGATCTGGTGGGTTAAGGTGACATTTCTCTCTAATTTATTTGACAAATTAAATTCATTGAATTTAAGTCTTTACGAACCATCGGAAACCATCATCACTGCATCCTCAAAACTGAAATCGTTTGGTGAAAAATTGTGGCAAAGTAAGATCTCGAAAGGACTGCTTTCCTACTTACAATGAATGTGCTTCAGATAAAGAAATCACCCCCGAAATTCTGGACACTTTGAAACACCTGCAGTCAACATTGCAGCATTACTTGCCAACAGTTGGAAGTCTTGAATATAGATGCGTCAGCTATCCACTTGGAAACAATGAAACTACAAATCTTACAACTAAAGAAGAAGAGCAGCTCATTGACTTAAAATAAAGATGCAGTTCTTAAGTCAAGTTTTGCCAAGAAAGCCTGGATATGTTTTGGATTTCAATCAACAAGTTATATCCTGCAATCAATTTAAAAGCAATCAAAATAATTCTTCCATTTGCTTCTTCATCGTTTTGTGAGTTTGAATTTTCAGCACTGACTGAAATCAAGTCTAAGAAAAGAGAGAGACTTCTTACAATAGACGATGAAATGCGAGTTTGTTTGTCGACTTTGGAGCCTCGATTAGATCGCATTTGCTCTCAAAAAGAGGCACTCTTCACATGAAATGTAATACTTAAAAACAGGTTAAATCTTTTCTTCTTTTTATTATAAAAGAACTGTTGCTTTTCGTGGTGTGCCGCGACATTTTTGTAGTTTTTTTACTGTGCCGGCAGACAAAAAAGTTTGAGAAACACTGCTCTAACCCAACTAGATAATAACGTCACTAGTCTCGTTCAAAGTCCGTCAATTATGGTGAGTCTTTATACATACCAATAATACTAACTGTCTAACAAAAAAAAAATGTAATCACAGTATTCCAAGTAAAGAGGCGCGATGGCTCTTTCCTGTCCTCTCGGCTTCATCTAGTACACTGCGTCGCCATGTTCTTTTTGGTCTTCCTCTACGTCTTGTAAATGACAACGAATTGATAAATTATTTCTCTTTGTATTATTTTTAGTTCCGTGAACATTGACTTGTTTCTAGAAATAAAAGAGACAAAAAATGTGTTTTTTCTGTTTTAAAAACACTACCTTGTCTTATCACGCGAGATCAAGAAACATCCTTGATGATGATTTGTGATCACTTTTTTTGTAATTTTCTTTTTGTTTTTGTTTGTCAATTTTTTAAATTTATTTCACTCTCTGTCTCTTTCTGACCTTTTCAGCTTGTCCTTGAACTTTTGAAAATTTATTTCACTCTCTGTCTCTTTCTGTCCTCTTCAGTTTGTCCTTGAACTTTTGAAAATTTATTTCACTCTCTGTCTCTTTCTGACCTCTTCAGTTTGTCCTTGAACTTTTGAAAATTTATTTCACTCTCTGTCTCTTTCTGTCCTCTTCAGTTTGTCCTTGAACTTTTGAAAATTTATTTCACTCTCTGTCTCTTTCTGTCCTCTTCAGTTTGTCCTTGAACTTTTGAAAATTTATTTCACTCTCTGTCTCTTTCTGTCCTCTTCAGTTTGTCCTTGAACTTTTGAAAATTTATTTCACTCTCTGTCTCTTTCTGTCCTCTTCAGTTTGTCCTTGAACTTTTGAAAATTTATTTCACTCTCTGTCTCTTTCTGTCCTCTTCAGTTTGTCCTTGAACTTATAAAAATTTATTTCACTCTCTGTCTCTTTCTGTCCTCTTCAGCTTGTCCTTGAATATTTTTTTTTCGAACTTGATAAAAAAAATAATTACTCACTAAGCGAGACAACTTTTATCTATCTTTAACTTTCAGGTCATAAGGAAATTTATCCGCGCTTACAAAAGGTCCTTCCAAGCTTTGTTAAAGGACAATATGGCCAGCACGGACCAGCAAGTGATCGGTTCCATGTACTCACCACAGATGATCAAAGACCAGGAGGTGGAGATTCAAACTTACAGATGTTCAGATGGCCAGTTCGGACTGCATGGTTCAGATATCCAATATTTCTGTCTAGCGTACGTCTGTAAAGAGGCGGCAGAGTTGAGGAGAGCCAATACGACTTTACAACTTACGTGAGAATCTGGTCGTCTGCTGTTCACAAAACTTAACGCCAACTTAATTATTATTATTTAGTAATAGCATTATTATAATTAAATCGGTCTACTGTGCATCTCCGTATGATCACATTTATATGGTGTATGGTCACTAGTGGATCTAACACTTCCGAGTAAGGGTGGGAAGACTTTAACCATCTTATTCCTTTCATTGAAAGTACAATGTATGTTTTGTTCTTTAAAAAAAACAAAATCGTTTGAGCAATCTTGTTAAAACTTGGCATAAATGTTTCTTAAATCACAGAGGAGACCATAGTTTGTGTCAAATTCCCCTCCCCCGAATGGAAAGCCCTAAAAATAAAAGAAATTCCAACTCTATAGACCCAATATGGTTTACTAGATCTAGGTCAAATAGCCATCTTGTGATAGATTTTAACCATTTTTATTGCTCTATTCATATTTGGTCGCACAGTGAGACAAATCAAATAAACATGTAAGGTCACATACAAAATAAATAAAACCCTACAATTGAACATTTTTATTATTAATTAACTCATTGAAGTCCACCTTCAAGTGAGTTTTCTTTAAACATTTTAGAAGTATGTCTATTTTGGGGAGGATTTTGTCAACGCGCAATTCGACCTCTCAATTTGCAATAAGATCTAGGTCAAAGTGAGTGCTTTATTTGTAGATGTACAAATTACTGTTCTCCCCCCCCCCCCCCCTAAGTGTTAGGTCATCGGTCAAATTAGTATTCCTTAAATTCCATATCTAAATCTAGATCAATATAGTTTAAAAACAAAAACAACTTTTTTTACTTCAATTTTATTAGCTAACAGATGCTGTTTTTAGACACCTATTAATGATAATTATTGCTTTCATATTGCGCTTCTTTCCTGCTTATAGCATGCTCAAATCGCTATAGTCGAATCTCATCTGTGGACCAGTGGGGGGAAGGGGATATCTGGAGAAGTTTTTCCGTGCTGCCTATAGGTACTCAGTAAACACAACTCTTCCCGAGGACGGGTGTCGAACCTCGATCCCCCTTCATAGGTGGCAAAGCCAAGCCAAGTTCAAGCGTACTTAGCCTCTCGACCACGCTTCCCTACTGACTTAACGAAGTAAGGTATTTTACTGTTTACATGTGCAATTAAACTTTAAAAAAAATTAAATATCTAATTGACAAGAAGCCCTACCTGGGGACTTATGACAATCCCAACAAAAAATACTTAATTAATTAACATGTTGCGCTCAAATGCAATCATAAAGCAATACAGAAATGAAAGTATATATATATATAAAGAGAGAGAGAGTCAATTGCTCAAAAAACATTTAGGCAACTAATTGAGAAAAACATTCCCTTATATCTGGATCATTAAATACAAATCAATTATCTAATATATACACATTTCACATGTTACTTTTGAACGAGTCTGGTGTCAATGTATATTATGTTTTCTATAATTATAATGTTTTGTTTAGTGTAATTTACACATTGTAAGACAAATTTCCTTATGGATAATAAAGATGATTATTATGATTGTTGTGATTATTATTATTATGATGATAATTATGATATTATTAGAAAAACAAAGCGGATTTTTCTTCAGAATAGAAGTCTATTACATTCTAATCCTAACTTTCAGCAGTACAGTATTCAAACCCAGGACCGATGAGGCGACAGTCTAGAGCGCATACCACACGAAAATGGCCGCGATGCATGGGCCCCAGAAATGAAATTTAGTGACTGATTTTTTGCTTTGATTTTGTTTATTTTAGGTGAGATTTTAATACTAAACCATCACTTGCCCCAGCACAGCCTAGGGGGTTTTCAGTTTAAAAACCCTATCATGGGGTTTTCAGTTTAAAACCCCCTACGTGGGGGGGGGGGGGGGAGTTTAGTTTAAAACACCCTACCAGGGGAGTTCGAATTTAAAAATCCCTACCAGGGAGGTTTGAGTTTAAAACCCTCTACCAGGGGTTTTTGCAGTAAAATCCCCCTCTTCTATAAAACAAAACAAAAAAATTGCAAACGACAATCCCCAAATTCCAAGAGCACAGTTAAGGAAGATTTTGATTTTAAAACCCCCCTCTAAAATCTACGATAAACCCCCTCTTCAATATAAAAAAAGCAAATTACACACTCAAAATTCTATGAGCGTAGCCAAAGAGGTTTTGAGTTTACCTCCCCCCCCCCCCTCTTAAGTAGTGTTTAAAGCTAAAAAATACCTCTTCAATACTAGGTATTAAAAAAAAGCAAATTACGCACTCAAAATGTTAAGAGCGTAGCTAAATGGGTTTTGACTCAGTTTTGAGTTTAAACCCCCCTTCAGAGGGGTTTGATGCTAAAAAATACCTCTTCAATAAAAAAAAAAGTAAATTACACACTAAAATTATTTGAGCGTCGCCAAGCCAATTGGGGGTTTTGAATATAAATCCTTCTCCTACAGATGGCTTTTTTTTAAAGTTTAAAACCCCCTTCAGATGGTTTTGAGTTTAAAATCCCCATACAGAGCGTTTTGAAGTGGAAAACCTCTATCTTCAATATTATTTTAAAGCAAACTACAGTTACTAAATTCTATGACCGTAGCTAAATAGGGTTTTGAATTTTAAAAAAACAACTCATTGGATTTTTTAGTTTAAAATCCCCAACAGATGATTTTGACGATAAAACTTCCTTTTTCGATATAAAATCTAAAGCAAACTACAGTCAATTAATTCCAAGAGCGTATTCAAGAGAGGTTACACACTTCACCAGTGGCCGGGCTCCATTAATACAGTGCAGTGAATAGTCATCTGCCGAAATTGAAAAACACTAAATGTGGCTCAACAAAGATGGCTAAGACAGCTCTCGGGAGTCAGTTTTAGAGATCGGGTCTAAATCAAGGACATCCTATGCCGAACTGAGAGTTGACACCTTAGTAAGATTGTGACAGAGCGTCGCATGAGGTTTGCGGGACATGTTCTCCGACAAAATGAATAAGCATTAGAAGAGTTGCGATGACATCCTAGTACAACTTGGCGCCACACATTCATGGAGGTCCTCAGAGCAGATGGGAAGAGGCTTCAGACATTACCAGTGACAGATTTTTGTGGAAGCAGCTTGACGGCAAATGCGCCGACCACGCGGGAGGGTCTAAGTCAGTAAGAATATCACACTAGGTTTTTGAAATAAGACTTTTTAATAGCAGGAAAATGCACTTTACATACCTCAGAATATGGATTTGTTGGTTTTCAATACCAGAAAAAGGGCTTGGCGGCGGGGCTCGGCCCCGCGCTGGGGGAGCTCTTAGCGCTCCCCCAGACCCCCTTGTTGGCAAAGGCGGGGAGTTTACAATTTTTCCACTAACTCCAGGAAGAACCTATTCTAGGGTACAATAAACGTCTTCCGAAAGAATCATGGATCAGAATGTAATAAAGATTATGTACACACACACACACATATATACATATAAAAAAAAATCCCCCCAAAAACCCCCTGCCGAAAAATAATCCTGGCTACGCCTATGCCGCGATGGCTTATATGAATGCCTTCTTGAAATAATGTTTAAGTTGATTTGTAGACCTCTTAATTTAGTTAGTTCATTTTTATAGTTTTTTTAAATGTGCTTAGTTATTTCTGGTGTTAAGAAATAACTCACATCTTTAAAAATAATAATAATAATAATAATATACAGCTAAGTATAATAGGAAAGTTTAGATCACGATTAATAATGACTCATATTTACTGTGAGAATTTGTTGGCTTCTTAGTCTCAATGCTACAATACAAGTCTATCTAGATCAAATCTTTAATTATAAATGACAGTCATTAATCTTAAAAGAAGATATTTGTAATAATAATAATACTTGTGTTAAAATATACTTCACACAGACGTTCAGTGAATTCGAACTAAATCAAAAATCCCAATGTAGTTTTATTCATTGCATTGGCTTATCTCAAATTTGTCTAAATCTACAAAGTTTAGAAAACTGCGTCTATACGCTGGATTGAACTGGAAGTGTACTTTTGTTTTTAGCTATGCACAGAAAGGATGCGCACATTTTGTATTATGTTGACTTCTTTCAAAAAAAAACAACATATTGGGTTGAAACTACGAAAAAAAAATCGATTTTGATAAATTTGATCGCTGCTGATTCGATCATTAAAATACTGTTAGATCTAGACGTAGGTACGTCATAACAAGTTAACGTTACGTGTTGTTTAGCCCAACTCAACTTAGGGTTAGGTGAGTCATGGCTTTGGCACCAACTGGCCTTAGCTGACATAGAAGAGAGCACCTGGTTGCATGCGGCCTAAGAACAAGGCAGCTGGAGGTCACTCACGAAGGCCGCGGGATGCACATTTGAGACCAAAAGAGAATCCGCTGCCGAGGACAGACGCAGACGTCGAAAAGAAAATCTAAATCGACCTCCTATGGACAATTGGTATGCTTGCCCTGGATGTGGCAATATATGTATGTCACAGCCGCGTGATATAATGCATTCCTCACTAATCTTCGGACTCGAAGACAAGCCTTAATATTATTTATGATTAATGGCCAAGGTTTGGTGGAAGTAGTAAAAATTATTTGAGAGATAGAAGTGCGATTAGAATAATTATGACCATGCCGCTGATAAGTTATCATCCAAGGCCAAGTTGTGGTGGAAGTACGACCATGTTTCACTTTAGTTTATTTTTCTTTCGCTCTTTTTTTAAATTGGGGGCCTCATTGTTAGCCTTGAAATAAGGTTGTTTTTTGTTGTTGTTTTTTTTCTAATAAAGGCTGACTTTACCCATATCAGGATAACACTTTTTTACATTAACTCTATATTTATACATGATACATTTTTATAGTTTATTTAATTGTAATTTTATTTTTATCTGATATTTTACACTTTTTGTCATTTAAATAAAAAATGAATATATTAAATATTGCTCATTTCATGATTTTTACAATTACTATTAGTTAGATAAAATGAACAAAACATGAAACGAGCAGGGGGTGAAATGACGGGGATGAGATGACCAGGGGATGAAATGACCGGAGATGAAGTGACCGGGAACCATAAAGATTTACTACCAAGTAAACAATTACAGTTCCCTCGTATGGTCTGACCTCTAGAGAGTGCTGACATTAAACCTATGTCCATCGTATCTGACATGTGGTCACCTGTCTATCAATGAACTCAATGTGATGGACTAAACAAATAAAAAGGGAGTGGGAGTTGTCCATCTCTACCTCTGGAGATATATCCGCACACATAAACAGACACCTGGTCAGCATTACGTAGTCAAGGAATATAACATCTTAACATGTTAACTAACCCACTCATAGGTCAAAACAAACAAAGTGAAATAATGTGCCAGCATTTGTTGCTAGCACATGTAAATCGCATTTATAATGTATATTTTCATTTCTATGTATATTAACACGCCTTGTCTTTATAATAAAAGATGTTTGGTGCATATTCATAAAGGCCTTATTTTTTTTAGTACATTATTTTATTTTAAATATAAACGTTAATGCATTCTATAACAGACATTAATGGAATGCATATTAAATAGGTACAAGGTGTACTTTTTATTATCCGGCCTACTATCCTGCAGTGATATTCGCCTAAGCCGGATATGTCCGTATAGTGAAAATTGCCAAATATTCGGCCGCAGTCGGAGCTACTATCCGATGCACCCCTAATATATATTCTATGTGAGAATAGCAGTACACACTGGTTAGGCCCGTCGACTTGCTCCATGATCGGAACGTCTCTCCTTTTTTTTTAAATAAACGGGCCACATTTTAACGATCCCCCAAGTGTACTTATTAGCCCGTGAATTATTGTTTCTGTTACAATGAAATGTAACATCTCGTTCCTTCCTTTTCCTTCTCTCCATCTCTTTCTATTTCTGGAATCCAAATTTTTAGTTAATTCTTTTCACCCTGCGCTTTGTAATTTCTCAAACATAGACTTTTGACATGATTTAGTAAGACCCGCTCCATAACGCCCCTCTATGCCTGCGAAGTGCTTATGAAAATAGAAGGTTTTATAGTTATCAATATAAATTATATAATTATATAGAAAAAAATAATGTGTATAAACTTTTACCAGACAGACTAGTATGTTGATATAAGCTTTGTAAAAAGTGTAATGCTGCAGAAGGAAAGTATGCATTTAATATATGTATGAGACAAAAAGAAAACTTCCTAATGCCTAAATTCTTTTCTTATTTTAGGATGCAACAGAAGGTTGACACATGTATTTTCATTTAAGATTTAATTACAAACACCGATAAGTAGATAGACAGGTTAAAGCTTGTATATAGCCCTAGTTTCATGCTTATAACATGCTCAGAGCGCTGTGGTCCAATCTCACAGTGGGGTGCGGTGATATCTGGGAGAAGGTTTTCCGTGCTGCCTTAACGCGATCGTAAACACAAATCTGCTCGAGTCTGGTGTCGAACCTCGAGCCCCCAAGATAAGCCAAGTTGAAGCGTACCTAGCCTCTCGACCACGATTGTTTAAAATGCAGCTCCGTTTTATCAACATGAACAAGAAAAACCAACAGAAGATAGCCAACACACTAATAACACACTGACATAACACACTAATAACACACTGATACAACACACTAATAACATACTTGAGGAAAAACACGCGAACACAGTGAACATAGGAGGAAGGAAGTTTACAAGAAAACAAACAAAAACAAGCAGACGACATCATACATAAACATCACTACACAT